CCCCGCCTTCGTGACTGCTGGGACTGGCCTGCAGCGTGCATGGCGGCCCAGCATGCGGGCCCTGGCTGTTCGCTGCCAGGTAGCCGCTGGCTTGTTTGTACTTTTCCTCACGCCAGGCTGAGGTGGCATGTCTGAAGGCGGCAGACGCCCTGAGATCATGCTTGTTAGTGTAGCTCCCGGCGCCCACACCAACCTGTCCCGAGTCTCCTGCTGAGGGCGCCGCTGCCTCGCCACTTGCTCCTGAGCGCTTTCCTTGCCTTAGCTTTCAGGAAAACTGACCACCGCTGTCCAGGTTACTCTTCCTGGGTTTGAAGCAATTATCAGTTTGCGTTTTTTATAATTGAAGTTATGGAAATAAATGTTCTTTTGGTTTCTATTTAGGTATTTAAGTCACTGGTGACACAGCTGCATATCTAAACCTCATGTGCCTATTTGAAATTAGGTTTTTAAAAATATATAGTTTCATTTGTTACTTTTATCAACTCAACTGTTTTGTGTTTACATTAAGAAATTCCCAGAGAACTAAGAAAATGTACTTGCTACCTTATCATTTCTGGAAAGATTTTTGTGGGACATTTTATTGCATCTCCATTAATAAATTGATGATGAAGAAACTTGTGGCTGTTGTTGTCTAAAGATACAGTGTGACTTAATACTTAAGGTATTTTTTGATAATTACTTAAGTCTGTTGTGGTTATTTTTACAAGCTGCTGTGGTTCCTGTCTGAAATGTTAGCAGAAGCTGTCAAGGATTCACTGCATCCTCGCTGTTCCCAACAAATGCCGGTGGGGGATCTGGGCAGTAGGGTGTGTCCTGCCTTGACCCTGAGTGCCTGCCAGACGCCCTTCCCATCCACCAGTGGAGGGGGGCCCCCTGCTCTCTGTGATTTATCCTTCATGCTTTCCTTAAGCCTCTTTCAGCGCTTTCTTAAGTGGAACTTCCTTAATCCTTAACCCTTACTGAATTTGACCATGTTGGAAAGTGATATTTAAACACTAGAATTAATAAAAAAGAAGACAGTTCTGGGGAAAGGCAGTTCTTAGTGGGAGAGGCCCAGCAGCAACTCACATTCCATTCTTACATTTCTTACAGTGAATTTACTTTCAAGCTACAAACGTAACATACACATCCAGTGATTTGATTTTTTTCGTTTATACGTTTAAAGAGTCACTTAAATGTCTTTTGTTGCATTTGCTGCAACCTCTGCAGTCCAGGTGAAGCTTGAAATCTAGCCTTGTCCATGGGGGTCAGGGGGCAGAGAGGAGGGCAGGGGATGGGGTCCGGGCTGAGGAAACCCAGGTAGATGGGGCACTAACCCAGGTGTCCTATCCTGGCACCACAGACAAAACCCCCCTGCCAAACTTGTGGCGTTTGTGGAGAGCCCTGAGGGCTTTAGTTCTGGGATAGATGGTTCCCTTAGGATGGCAGGCCCTGTGTTCCAGGGCAGGGAGGGCAGGAGCTAATAGCAAGGGCCAGCTCGTGGGTCAGCTGGTTGTGCCCTTCTACCACCTGTCCAGTACATTTGAACTCCCATCTTCCTTAGAGACCTTCAGGCAGACTGGCAAGGAGGGGAAGGGGCCAGAGGGTTCTGGTATGGACAGCCTCACCTGAGGTGACATGGGCAGGCCAGCAGGAACCCTCTGGAAGCCTGTCACCGTGCTGGGTCAACCCACACAGGCCCCACTCTGGCTCACCATTTTAGTGACCACACTGAGTGCAGTTGTCCTGTGAACCCAAAGGACAGTCTCGTGAATGTTCTGGAAGGATATGTGCAGCTCAGAAAACCGCAGAACCCACTCTCTGAGGCACCTGAGAAGCAGCCCCTGAGGATTTTCCAGTCTTTTAAAACAGTGGGCGAGTCTTGGAAAACACCCAACATGGGCTAAATTCTGGTCATTATTACTTAGTATCAGTCTCAACCAGCGAGCATGGAGGGGAGGCATGTGGCCGAGGCCTGTCGCAGCAAGTCCCTGGAGACCTGCAGGAATTGCTGGAGGCAAGGGGCCAGCAGCGTCCACAGTGTCTGCCGCGGTCTGCCCAAGATGGTGGGTCCAGCAGGTGGGGGGAGTGGGCAGCCCTAGGCGGGAAGCTACTGCATATGGACCACCAGGCACTCAGCCAGAGAGCAGCTCAGGGCAAGTGTGGCCAAATCAGAGGCCTGGAGGAGGGTGCAACTGAAACCATGGTGTGGCTGTCCCACCCAGGAGTGCCAGTGGCCTCAAACACAGGCTGCTTACGCCTCATGGCACCATGGCCCGTGAGGCCTGGGCTGGGCAGGCCAGTGCACGTGCACCAAGGGCCACCTCAGGGCACTGCTGAGCGGCACCAGGCCACCTATTCCAAGGCCAGGCCAGCCAGCACCAGAGGTCACGGCACCAAGGTCGGCCCTTGTGCCTGGAATGGCGGGGCTGGAGAGGTGTCCAGCAACTGGCCAACTGCACCCACGGTGCCCGCGAGCAGCATCAGGGCTCAGCCCTGAGATGCCAGTCAGGATTGTGGGCACGGGTAGGGCCCTGGGAGGCGCCGGCCCGAGGCGAGGCTGTGGTAGAGCTCGAGGTGGAGAAGTCTGGGCCCGACTCCCCACCATTCCACCCCCTCTCTCCATCGCCTGGTGCAAGGCCCATGCTGGTCCTGGCCCAGACTGGCTGAGTCCTGGGCTCACGCTGCCCTGAGGCTGCCGCAGCCATGGAGTTTGGGATGTTCTTGAATGTGCTATGGGGATGTCCCCAAGCTGGCTCTTTGGGGAGCTGACAGGGAGAGAAGGATCAGAGCCGATGCGAGCAGGCTACCTGGAGGGTGAGGGTCTGGGCTCAGGTGGGTAGGATGTGCTGGGCAGGTGCTGACACTGCAGGTGGAGGTGGGGCCCCAGAGACTACATTGTGACACGGTGGTGGCAAGGGGGCGGGGGCTGGCATAGAGGGTAGGAGTCCCAGCAGCCTCCCATTTCCTCCAGCCCCAGTAAGTATAGGAGCAACCTGGATTGATCATTCCCTGGCCCCGGGGAGTCACGGTCCTCCCCATCCTTGGGTGTCCTGGGCTGGCCCTCCTCCTCCAGGGGTGTTGTGGCTGGTCTGTCCTCAGGTGCTCCCTGTACCTGCTCCTGCAACTGCAGCACCCAGAATAAGCAGCAGGGGGCGCCCCACCCCAGCCCTGGTCTCAGGCTCTACTGGGTGGAGTCACGCTTTTCCTCTTGGCAGTAGATTTCTTAAAAATCCAGGACAGTGGGACCCATGTCCATCAAATCCCTTTGCTCACTGACCTGGTGACCTGTTAAGATATAGCAGCTTCCTGGCTTCCAAGCTGGCAGCGTAGGAGGCTCTGGCAATCGTGCCCTGGGCACCTCCCTGAAGACCTGCTGGGCCAGTGTCTGTCACAGTCAGTGAGGTTGTAAGGGCAGCAGCAGAGAGAGGCCAGGCCTCTGAAGAAGGGTGGAGGGGCCCCGCAGCCATGGCTTCCAGTTGTCCTGCTGGAAAAAGGAGGAGGGGCTGGAGTGGGGAGCCTGAAGTGACCACAGCAAGACCAGGTGACCCGGTCTTGCACTGTGGATGCCAGTCACTTTGGGATCCCCAGATCAGAATGAAGCCTGTAGGCTTCCAGCAGGGATCCTGATGACTCCTCACTGTGGGGCCGCTGCTCTGGGTCTTCTGCGCCCCTGTAGACGGGTGGGTGCCCAGGAGAGGGGCTGTCCTGGCTCCCGAGTTGGCTGGACTGGGGAAGACCTGTGTACCCTGAGAGCAGCCCTCGTTTCCTTCCTGTTGAACTGAAGCTGCAGCCTGGACCATCGGTAGTGGGGACTGTGGCTCCTTTGATGTTGGGGAGGCGGGCACTAGAGGGGTGCTCGTGGGGAACACAGGAGGGAGCTGTGGGGAGCTGCCAGGGCCTGAGACCTGGAAGCAGTGAGATGTTGCTGGGGATTCAAGAGAGTCGGGGAGACCCAGTGATATCTGCTTTCAGAGTGACCCACAGAAAGGGCAGATGATACAGCTTAGGGGCTGAGAAGCCGCCTGGTCAGACGCTGGAGACATGGTGTGTGTGGGCTGCCCCAGAGCAGTTTCCACAGCAACGCTCAGACAGACAGAGGACCAGCCAGACCAGCTGCCAAGGCAGATAGGCCCCTGTGGGCTGGCTGCTGCGTCTGCTGTGGGCTAGCCTGCCCACCCACCCCCGCTGCCCTCTGTGAACCATCTCATTGCATTTATCCATCTTGGCAAAAATGCTGCACAGCTGAGTTACACACCTGTGTCCACACCCGAGTTTCCCATGCTGCTGGGTACACTCCAGAGTGATCTCCCAAGTATAAGCTCTGGGAAGGCACGTTGCTCTCATTCAGTCACAGTGCTGGAGGGGCCCCGGCGGGCTGGTAACGTGTGACCCTGAGCAGAGAGCTGGAGAAGAGCCTCTTTGAGTCAAGCAGGGACAGTGGGTCAGTGGACAATGACACAGAGCAGAGCAGAGGACCCCGAGACCTAGCTGGGGGGAGTGGTGGCTATGTTGTGGGTAGTTTGGCGGCAAAGCAAGAGTCACACGTGGGTCTGGTCGGCTTGTTGCAGAGTTGCATTCCCAGAATGGATTGTTGTGAAGTGATCGACGGCCACCTGCTTGGTGTCCAAGGGACCTACCCAGAAGCAGAGGAGGCATGCACCGGTGCAGGGGACAGTCTCAGCCACGGCCTGTCTGCGAGACCTTGTTTAAGTTGTTGTTGGACTTAGAAGGGAGAGCTCTCTTGGAGACACGTGTCCATCGAGGGCAAAGCTGGTCACAAAGCAAAGAGGGAAACCCAAGGAGGGGACAGTGCCCCCCGCACCAGCTGGGTCGTGACCCCTCTGCTGGGATCCCAGGGTTAGCCTCCGTGCACTTCCCCCTCGCTGCCTGGGCGGTCTGCTTGGCTCAGGGT